AGGAATTCTGCATCTACTTCATATAATGAGTGAAAAATATTCGATTTTTGACCGATTTATAGATATATTTCTGGCTTGTTTGCACAATTAAAGCTTATAAGCCTCCTTTGTCAAGTACAAGGACAGATAGAACAATACAGAGAAAGACAGCACAAAGATTGACCCGTTTCTCATACAGCGTTTGGCGGGTGAAACACCTCACATCAGAAAGCCTCCACGCAGTTTTTCATAAGTAGGCTGCGCAAACTATTTAAAAAGTAAACCAGTGGTTCGCATAACGAAAACAATCATATTACCCTACATCGTTACTCAATCAAAAAATTCAAAGCTTATTGAAAACATTTCCAAATAAAATCTTCACAACAGATTAAATTCTGGAATAAGAGCCATATGGCACATCAAAAAACATTCTCCCTTTCTTAGCGAGAATACCAAAAATATGACAAGCGTTGATTCCTGTTCTTCTTTCGAAACTATTGCCAGAGATTATTTCCAAACATGAAGTTCACATACAATATTTATTACTCAAGAGAAAGATTAAATACTTAAGTGTCAATTTTTAAGCAAAAACTGAAGAAAACTATTTCTATAAAGCAAGGTAAGTTTTACTTACCCCGTTCTCCAGGACTGCCACTTTGGTAATAAATATCAATTTGCTCAGTCATAAAAGACTCTAACATGTGTTATAGACAATCACTTTAATAATAACGCAATTAAAAAACACAAACAAAAAAAAGGATTAACAATTAAAGTTCAATTATTTACGGAGCTAAACATGCTTGTTCTCAGATCGAGATATTAACATCAACTGGTGGCGCTGTGGGCGCACCAAAACAACATGCGCAGAAGACAGTTATAGTGGGAATTCTCGACACTTAAGGTTAGAATTATAACTGCAGTTTTTTCTACTGACAAATGCCGTTCAGGGAAATTTGATACCACATCTGGTGTGTGTTTAAGGAGAGCAATTAATTAAACGAAAAAAACATAAATAGAATGACAATGTAATAAGATAACGTAGATGTTTAAATTTCTTCACAGTTTATTTCAAATTAAATTTCATCTTAAATTACCGATGTGTCAAGCCACGTGACCTATATGATAGGTTATGTGAGAAAGGGCCTTTCGCGGCAATGTCAACCTTCATCTATCAAAAGATGCCCCAAATAAAGTCACAGTCTTTTCGGTTGGTCGGGGTGCCTGAGGCCGAAGTGGGCCCTTTACCCCTTCATCATGTGGTGAGGATCATTGAAGTGAAAAACCTTCTGGTCCTTTTGTATCCCAGATAGGACTGGGCGATATTAGAATTTACATATCGTGATGCATCGTCAGTTTTGCATCGCGATATAGTATTTTTGATTTTCATTTACTTGTAAGGCACAGAAAGTCAGATTTCTATCAAAACTTCATACTCAGATTGATTTAAATCAATTTATAAATTTGAAGATATATATGTTTTGCTTAAGAAAGATATTAAGTAAATTGACTACAATGTTCAAATCTTACTTAAAATATTTATTGAAATGTTTGTTTAGAAATTCATAATGCGCGTAAAACAAAGTGCTAATAACTTTTTAAAGCGTTTTGTACAAATTAATATTTTCTTGTACTATTATGCATAAATAATTACATAGTTATTAAGTTCGATCGTAATGTTCAATTTCTAAATGAAACGTTAAGAATTATCATTATGTTTAAAACAAAGTGCTAAATAAATTTTAGAAAAAAAAAACGCTTTTAAAACGCTATTTTTAATATTATCATTTTAGTTATTATAGTTCTATTATAGTTCATTTACGTCACACTAGAGATGCACAATGGGCTATTGGCGACGGTCTGGGAAACATCCCTGAGGATGATCCGAAGACATGCCATCACAATTTTGATCCTCTGCAGATGGGATGGCACCCCCGCTTCGGTAGCTCGACGACCTGCACGCGAAGTCGAGCACTTTACGGTAGAACAGTTTAACGAGGTCCAATGCCGCACACCTTCGGTCCCTACGCAGACTGATCCAAGTGGTCACTCACCCGCACACTGACCGCAGCCAGTGATGCTTGACATCGGTGATCTGCAGGGAACTGTGTCTTAACGATCAGTCCACTGCGGGACCTTATCATTTCAGATAAATAAATAAATTAAATTAAATAATGACCGAATTATGAACGAAAAACAAAGTAAGATTTTATTTCTTAAAAATAAGAAAATTGTGATATTCGATAATATGAAAAGAATATTTTTTTTTAAAAATTATTATACTCTCTAATAAAACAAAGCGCTAAATGATTTTAAAAAATGAATAAAGTACGCAAACCTTTCTCATTTTTTTGTATAAACAAAGTTGGTTGACTTATGTCCAAATCCAAATGACAAAAATAAATTTTGTTTTAACTTTATTTCTAAAAATAAAAACAGCAACATTTAAAAATCTAAAATCAGTAATAAAAACTCATTAAATTATTAGAAGTTTCATACAAAAAGTTTTTAATAAATTAAAAGAAAGTAAAAAAATAACCTAACAAATTCAATTCTTTATGGGCGCCTAAATTAGATTGCCGATAATTTTCACATTTAAAAATAAAAAGAAGTTTTTTTTAAAAAAAAACTTATCTAATTAATGAAGAAACTCTTCTTTATATATTCTTTTCAATAATAGATTGCCTTCAGAACAAGGTAACATCGGCGATCACGAAGTTAGTCCCACTGAAAATAATCTACAAGAAAAGTCGCGACAAAGAAAAAAAAAGCTAAGAGGTGCGAAAAGGAACATGCGATATAACGATATGTGTTCTCAAAACTCTGATTCTGATTCTACAGCTCACCAATCAAGGCCATTTCAACATAACGAAACGAACATCGTCTTCCACAGCGCGAGTCGACATCGGAACGTAAGAGAAGAGTCTTATATCGCTAAATCGTTATCTTATATCCTTGCGTGTCTTATATCGCTATATCGTTTTGCTTTCGTTGTCTCTACTTGACGGCTTAAATCAGATTTCTGATGCATCGCCTTGAATGAAAGTCGCTGTATCGTCTTGCCGATATATGCGTTAAATCGATATGTCTCGATACATCGATTTATAGCCCAGTCCTAATCCTAGAAATAAAAGTAGGGATTAATAACTGGGCGCATTTCCTGAGAAAATTTCATCTTATATTATGAAGATTGAAGATACATAAAAATAATTACATAAAAACGAATTCATAAATAAAGATAATAATAAAAATTTAAAAATGCATAAGCATAAATTTATAGATAAACAAAAATATATTTTCTGTACGTAGTTTGTTTCCCACACATTTTAACTTCAAATCACAATACTGTACATACCTGCCAACTCTTCCGGATTTTCCGGAAGATTTTATTTTTATATTTAAAGTGGTAGCAATACTCAGGTTATTCCAATTAACTTTTTGAATTATAATGATAATTATAAATGAGTCTGACCATCACTACATAAAAATAATTACAATAAATATATCAAAACATAATAATCCTTGCGCAAGTGAATAAAGGGCCATTTAAGCCTCAGATGTCCAGTTCTACAACAACGAACGAATTGCGCAAGCGAATTTCAACGGGATCAAAATATAAATATATTTTTGAGTCATTGTTTTTCGTTTGTTGTTTTACAACCATTCTGAAAATCCATTCTCGGAAAGAGTGAAAGTTGACAGGTATGACTATATACATCATATTACCATGCACCACATAATGCTGCATAAAGTTGCTGGAATAGAACTCGATGATTGGATATCACTTGTTGATTCATCGCGGTTGTGCGAAAGACTGAGAGAGCTGTATTAAGTTTATCGGACATTGAGCGCTGGTCGTGAAAAGCTGTATTCTGTCGTGTAATTGAAAAAACAACGTAAGAGTTTAACGATTAATTCCGAAAAAGATGGCTTGACAATTGTTTTCCTTTATTGATAATGCTATGAACGCTAAAATGGAAATTCGAAGCACTGATAAAACAAAATTTATTTTTGAAAAAAATATTTTGTAATATGTAGCTTACCATACAAAGATAACAAATATGATTAAAAAAATCTGAATTCTTTGTCGCATATGCTGATTTTCAATTGCTCGACAGTATTAAGTTTACCGGATTTCGAATTATGATCGTGAGAGCTGTATTAAGATCATAGTTTTATGCTTGGACGCTCCCATGTTTCTATAAGCAAATGAGTGTGAACAGGTTTTGTTGTGTGTGATCGAGACTGAGAAGCAACAGCTCGAGCACAATGTCGCAGTCACAACTAGTTAGTGAAATGTTCAATGTGGATTATCCATCGAAGTAGACGTGTACTAGTTGAAGTGAGAAGTCCGCTATAGAAGAAATACGGCTGACATTACGTGGTTGTGTTTAATCACGTGGTTGTGGTAGCGTATGGCGTGCTAACGCTGCAGTTATTATGGGTTTTTTTATCATGCTGAATCACTTTTTGGAACGCTTACAAGCGACGTCATGCATTTGCTTAATCAGCATTTCCGATTAATCAGGTTCGACACGTGATATCGCTTGTACATATCCTATTAAATATGATCCGAAAATTGATTCAGCGTGAAGCCAAGCCTAAACTCTGCAACGTTCGCATGCCATGTACAACCACGTGATTAGATTCAACCATTTGATTTTAGCGGTACTTTTCTTCTGGAGTTGCAAGTACTCAACTGCTATATGATGGAGATGCTCAAGCCAGAGGCTGAGCTACATCCTTGAATCGTCATAATAAATCAATCAATAGTCATAATTTTGGGATTGTGAATGGTAACTGGCTGTTTGCATTATTCCAATTGGTTGCTATCTAACTGATTGATCATTTATGCATTGTTTGTGAGCAGGTAAGTAGAGTGACGTCAGCTTAGACATCTCCATATTATGATTCACAGATCCATGTTTGCCAATCTGAATACTCTATAATGAAGATAATTTAAGTCTGTTTCTCTTCTCGATTTTGGAGTCAGCATAAGCAAATGCAGGTAGTCAATAATAGATTTACTTCCATCTTTATATCAAGAAAAAAGGCTTCCAAGAAATTCTATCACATTTTAAAAGAAATTTGAAAGGAGACCTGCCGAAATAATTAATTCCAAAATTTCTTCATGAATCAATGTAAAGGTAGGGATATATTTTCTGCAATATTATGTAATAATGATCTTTCAACGATATCTGAAATTTACAATCCTATAAATATGAGATTTTTTTTTCTCTGATATATTCAGATTCAATTGTCAACTCTTTGTAATGTAACTTTCTATCTTGAAACTTTAGCGTAAAGCAGTGTTTCCCAAAGTGTGGTACGCGTATACCCAGGGGTACAGGAATAGTTTAGGGTATGCGTTCTAATGCGAAATATCTTGCAACAAACGAAAATTTCAAGAAATTTTATTTAAAAATAAAGCTAGCATGAAAATTTATGATTACGTATTTTTATGTTGGCTATTTTTTTGCAGAGTTAACAGTTAATAATTAGAGTTGTCGGTAGCCAGCTGTGATTTTTAACTTATTATTGCCATTTTTTTATAGTAAAAAATACGTTCAATTTTTTATTAGTGGTACACAGCGTTACGAAAAATTTAGAAAGGGTACAAAAAAGTCATAAGTTTTGAAAATACTGGCGTAAAGAGACATCTCCGCATATTTAGTTTTTAAATGTTGAGTACTGGGAATGTTAGGAAGGAAGAAAGCATTAATACTTTCTATAGATTATGTTAAATATAGAAATTTATATCGGGTGCTTCTGTAATCTTCTCGATTTTTTGTATTTTTTCAAAAAACAGAAAAAATGACTTAAAAGTACGACTTTCTAATAATAAGTAATCGAGATATGAATAATATTCTACACTCTAACCTCATAAAGTGCCACTCGTCTTATTCATCCCTAAAAATCCTGATTGAATGCATTGCAAAACATATTTAAAAAAATACTTATAGTATTGGTTTCTCGTCTTATGTAACACAGTATAAGATTTGGAACTGTTGCTGTAAGCAGTACTAATATAATCCCTTTCCTACACCCTGTAGTCCCTAAGAAACTGATCACTGGTTGCGGTCAGTAAGCGGATGGGTGACCACTTTGATCAGCATACCTAGGGACCGAGGGAGATCGGTATCGGTCCTGGTTAAACTGTTCTATTGTAAAGCGTTCGATTTCACATGCAAATTATCGGGCTGCCAAAACGAGGAAACCATACCCTCTGCGAAGGATGAAAATTCTGATGGCATGTCTTCGGATTAATCTCAGAGATTTTTCCCAGACCGTCATCGATATCCTATTGTGCAGCTCTAGTGCGACTTAAATAAAGTACCTAGCTATCCTTACAAGCTGATTTTATTTTAATTAAAACTCTTTGCATTTAAATAAGCACTTTTTCTTTATCCTTTATCAAAATATCCTCTTTTTTCGTACCTTGACTGATAAAATTTTAAAATTGAAAACTGGAGATATTAATTCGATTTCATCCTCAGCACTAGTCTGTCACTGCCAAATTACTGTGGCGATTGTAGTTGGCGTAGTAGACCATGATACAGAAATATCCCACGATCTAGATAAAATACTGTTACCAATGTACTTTTGGTCCTTTTGGACAAACTGTTTTTGTCAATCATTGCTAATGTCTATTCCACACACTTTTCTTAAGAGAATACGAGATCTAGGGTGGCAAATAAACTAGAAAACTGAACATACTAAGCACACTTGAAAAAATAGCTTTGTAGAATAATTTTTTAAAAAAACGTCTTATTTTAATATCTTAAAGAATTGTTAAATTTCAAGCACAAGTTTTATGAATGTGATAATAATGATGATGATGATGGCTTCCGGGCATTTTAGAGCTCTTTGCTAATTTTCGTTTATTTGAAAACGCAACGACCTATATTTACCAATGAAAAACTCGCCAATCAGTTTCTCTTTCGTATTTCTGAATTTACATACGCGATGTTTTTCGACATCTACTAGTATGAATGCTCCTTTAATTTCTCTTTTTATTTAGAAATCTAAATGTTAACTTAAAACCTGAATTTTGAAGAAATAGGTCGTAAGAAGCGTATAAGTGAAAGCAAACTTTCAAATCGAGGATTCTGTCTATCTCCCATTTATCTCCTTTCAATAAACTTTTTAATATTTTAATGAATATGGTAGTTGTGTATTCTATGACAGAACAAAAGTTCAAAATGCTCAGTAACAGCAACCAATTCATTGGGTCTTCTTATCATATACAGTAATATCTCAATTCTAAGAAACTTGACTTAATGCAACTGGTTTTTTAACAAATGTGCAATTTTTAAAAGTGTCAAATTTTGACTTGTTATTACCCAAAACAGTAAATTTTATCATTGATTTAGTAGAACTAAGAATAAGAGAAATAATATTTAGGAATTTAACTTAATTGATATTTTAATATTGAAACAAGCGTTTTTACTGAATGTTTGGGATGTCTTTCTGTGAAACCAAAATGTTCTTTGATTTTTTATGTACGCATAATATGCTAGGGCTGAGAAGATTTTCGTATCCCGATCTTTATCAGAATAATTGCCGAATCTTGGCAACTTTCAGGCAGCCACATACAAGAAGCCAAAAAAATAAATCACAGACTGGAAAAGAATATCGTAGCCACTTCTGGGCAAACCTCTAAATTTTTTTGAAAAGAAATTACAACCTTTGAATCTATTTGGCATGACAGAACACGTTATAGAAATAGCCCTTGAACCCTTATTAGGATTAGATATTGAGCTTCATTAGCAACCTTAGAATAACACACTAGATCCCTATTTTAAATATTAAATCTCAACCTCTTATCCATCTATTTTTGTTTATATACATTATGTTATTATATACATTAATAGACAAAACAAAGGTTTCAAATCAAGAGTTATATTTCAAATATCTAGGCTATTTAGGACTTCTCAAATACTATCATCAATGAAAAACAATGTAATTTGACACTCACAATTATTCTAGTTTTCTCCTTCAGCTATTAAAAATAAAATAAAAAAATATATATACATTAAGGGTGATTTTATTCTGGGTTTTGGTAAAAAGCTAAGGCATGTTATTTTTTCGTGGCATTCCATGTATCTCAAGACCATTGGTTCACAGACTTTCATGAATCAAAAACTAAAAAAAGTCTTAAAAAATTTTCACTCAGTTCTGCAATTAAAAATTTAAGGAAACTCTTACTTAATCCCATCAACGAGCAATATTTGTTTAAAACTCTCATTACTATTTTAAATGTTTTTTATTAACTTTATGATTATAAGGGAGAAGTAAATATGCATCAGTGGTTATTAAAACATCTCTAACTTATGAAAATATTACTAGTCGAGGTTTTAAATTCTTCTTGGATTTTTTTAAAGCTTAATTAGATGACATTATATTTATTTATTAGCTTTGGCCAAATATATATAATACAGGTTGCCATATGTTCTTAGATTTTTATGGGTGAGAAGCGCTTTCTCTTACATGGTAATTCAGTCAATGAAGTCAAATTAATAAAATAAAATTGAGTTCAGGAATATTTATTCAATTTTGAGTGTACCAATTAAAACTTGTTTCCTTTTTTATTCTTTTTTTACTGCAGATTTTAATTAGTTTAATATGTAAAATAGTGTTTTATTTTATTATATTTTAAATTTTGTTTACTTTTCTTAATTATTTTGGAATCTCTTGATTATTCCAGATGTCAAATTCAAGTGCCTTTCCAGGCGAAGTTGATTCACAACCTGGTTTCAAACCTAATTATGATCCATTGCAAAGTATTTCTTCTGGTAATTCAATGTTTTTATAATTTTCCATTGGTAATTACCTACTTAAAGTCTATACAAAATAATAATAACCCAGCGAGTATTCTTGAAGAAATATATGAATTCTTGAAGAAAATATATGATATTCATTTGCTTATGCTATTTCTTTTTGTATAAAAGAAGAAAAGAAAAAGTTTGAAGTTCCTTGAATTTTTCAAAAAATTTCCTAAGTACCTATATACATTGTAATATATATAAATTTACGCAAGTTAGCATTTAAAAAAGTATTTACTCGTTTTAAGAATTATATAATTTTAGTTTCTACATCAAATACAATAATTTTTAATGTCGAATCATTTAGTTTTTGTTTTTTTCTGAAGGATGGAGAATGATTTCTTTCAAAAACAGCAGGAAACTTCTAGGAGACTTTAAGATCCTGCTTGTAGTGGAGTTGATATTTTTATTTTATAACTGTCATTGAATATTGGACCAAATTTTAAGGTTTATGACTACTAATGTTCAACTCTATAGTTTTGTAATTTTGAACCCAATCCAGTGAATTTTGAAAACAATTTTGAACCCAATCGAGGTGCCTAGGTATATTATAAAAATAACTTTTCAGGTGATGTTTTTGCATTCAAAAATTTAGACAAAGTGAGTTTTAAATCTCTAAATTCCTACAAGGGAAATTTTCTATCACTATTGTAAATTTATAGCACCCACCTGTGCACGTGGAAAAGAACTGTTGACTTTTAAAGTCTTTTTAAGCAAAATACTAATAAAATATAAAAAGGAATTTATGCAAATACCATTTTCTTAAATAGGTGTCTATTATTTTAATACGCATTTCGTGCTGTATTTCTTTTCTCAAGGTGTGTCCATATCCATAAACATGCATTTCAAACTGTGTCCAGATTTTTAAAAAACTCACCAACGATATATTGCTTTTTAAACATAGTTATTCTTTTCAATTTTTTGTAATGGTTCCATTATTTTTATCATTTTTATTTTATGAATTCTTTGAATCAACCTTACATCTTAATTTTTCCTCTTTATCTGTAGGTAGATTTTGCAATATCCAACTTTGTAAGCCTTCCTCACTAAAACGTTGCGGCACTGTCGAGCGCAGTGTCGGTGTACCTAAAGATAAAGCATATAATTCCAACTATGTGCCAACACTGTCGTCTAGAGGTGCTCATGAAATGATACCCGATTCTAATCTGGGTATTGTCTTTTTTTAAATTTATTTTATGTACGTCTATAATATTAAAAGGAAGATGAAATCTTAGCATTTTTTCCGAAATCTCTATCCATTTAACCTTAATTCCCATATAAAAAGAATTATCAATGGGTAAAAGATTGTCTCATGGCTGAGTGTGCTGATACCACAACTTTGAAATGCTCTAGTGACTTTTTTGCCTTTTTTTCTCATCTTCCTTTTTATACTTGTGATATACATAGTTTCTAGCGTTATTTGATTGTATTAAGTTATGCATAACAACATCCTTATAAATTTGTCATAGTATAGCTGCTCCATGTTACATGCTCCTGATTTAGCCTTACCTAGGGTGCACACGAGGAGGTATGTTACACTACACTCACAAAATTTGTCATAGTAAATTTTTTTGGGCTTTCTGCGCCCAAACTTTCTAGCACTAATATCTTTCAGCATGATAGTTTTAATAATAACAAATTAACATGCAGAAAAGAAAACCAAAAATTTTTACTACATGATTCTCAAATGAGAATAGAAAAATCACGAGAATTTCTTTCCCCTCGAATGCTCTAGAAAGGCCTTTTTTCAATATGTATCTGGCGAAAAATAATCCTTCAAAAATTTCTGCGGAAAAGAAAAGGATATTTTTTTACTTCATTATTTTTTATTATTCTCAAATGAGAATGGAAAACCATGAGTATTTCTCGCCCCTCTGATGTGCGAGAAAAGCATCTTTTAAATATAATTCTAAAGAGAAAAAATTCTTTCAAAAATTTCTGCAGAAAAGAATTTTAAAAAATTTAAAACCAAAAGAAAGATCTTTCTGCAAGAACTATGTAACGTTCTGCTACAAAGTCACTGAGATTTTGCCATGCGGTAGTATCCTGCAATATAACTCCATAAAGCTATTTAAGACATCTTTCTTAGTCCCTTCTGAGTCTCCTATTATTCTAAAGAACGTCAATCTTTTAATAAAACAAAAAATTTTAAATCAGCGATCAACTTCTTACCAGGGGCGAGCTCTTGGTGCTTCTTATGAGAACCTCTTAACATCATGGATCTCCAAGAATCTTCCTAAGGGCTAATAAAGTTCCATATTTCTAGCTATTGGCTGAACGCTACTTTCTAGAGTCACATCTATACCATATTAGACTTGCAGACACACCTGAATGCAAATTTGTGTGTGGAACATGCTGACATGTGTAGCGGGACATGAGGAACATGCAACGTGTATACCTCTCTACTCCCAAAGAGATCCCTACTGTAAGACTTATTATGCTTAGCAAAGCAAATCTAAGAATATAATTAAAAGAAATGTTTTTTTTTTTTTTTTTCATTTTAATTTACAAACTTGCTTTATCCAGGCTTATAGCATGTTTTTCCTTAAAATGATGCAACTTATTTTGCAAAAAAGGGAGGATTTCTCATTATAAATTAACAAAATAGGAAATTTTTATTATTTTGTTTAGTTTATTGTTAAATTTCATGCACTCAGGAAAAAAATTGTCGATTTGTTTATTCAGGTTCATGTAGGTTGAGTAAAATGATATCACAAAATGTCTAAAGCTGTTGCCTGAAAAGTGTGTAAAGCACTAATCTGAATTATTCCCCCAAGCAAGTAAAAGTTGCCATTTTAATTTATTTCAAACATTGCTTTAAAACAATTAACACAGTAATTAGAAATGTTGTGCATCAATTTATTTTTATCATTTTATTTTAGGCACTAATAATGCTCATTTACAATCATTACAATCTCAATTACTGAAAATCAAGACCAATTCTAATGATTTGCCTTTATCCAGGTATTGCATTCAATTATATTCAATAAAAGCTCTTTCTTTTTTTTAATATGTTTTATTTTTTGTCAAAATATATTTTGCCAATGTTAGGATTTGGTAAAATTAATTTAGTATTTAGGCAATAAATAGTAATCAAATAATTCATTTTTTAAAAATTAAATAGAAGGCTAATTAATACCCTTCTGGAATGTAGATAAAAGAAAGAATTTTTGCATTAAATAATTGAATTAGTTCACTTGCATAATTTTAGGTATTTCTGTAAACACAGTTAAGTGAAATAAGTATGTGAGAGGAAAAATTTACTGAATAAAAATGAAACAAAAAGTTTTCAATGGAGTTAACATGTTTTGAATCAACAAATTAATTTTATTTAGAAAATTCTTAAAATTATTTATTTTTTCTTTTAAAATTCATCTTAACTACTAAAAGTATCTATTATATGCAAAATTTGAGTTAAATTTCTATATATTTTGTGAAATAATTAGCTTATAAAAACCACCCTAACTATAGTCAAAGTTTTTTTATTAAGTCATCTGTGTTCTTATATCTCGAATAAATATTTACTTTTTTTAATCAATTCATTTTTATCAATTTACTTTCATGTCTGAGATATTACATTTATACATTTAAGATAATCTAGAATTTTTTTAGATGAACTGAAAATGAAATTTTGTTTTATCATTTAAAGGAATCTGCTTATTATTAATTTGGGCAATTTTGATGCAATGTGTGTTTTGACTTGCCTTTTATTAAAAAAAAAAAAAAAAAAAAAAAAAAAAAANAAAAAAAAAAAAAAAAAAAAAAAAAAAAAAAAAAAAAAAAAGAACAAATGAATGAATGAAACATAGCTCAATGCAGTTACTATGTTAATATTGCAGAGACATTAATTTAACCGAAAAAATTATTGAACTCAAAGTTTTTTGCTTTTACATTACTGATTTTTTGTTGACCTCACATTCTTATCAGGAAAGAATTATCAGATTTTTGTGGATAGCAAATAAAATATGCTCTGCATAAAACCACTTCAATCATAAAAATACTTTTTTTTTATTGCATGACAGATTTAAAATTATTTTTTTATATATTTATTATATTGAATTAATGGATAAATTAGTTTCTTTTTCTACTTTAAATGCTATAATGCTCCAAACTAAAGAAAAACATTTTAACCTTTTTATTTATCAATTTGTCTTTAAATTAGAAATTGAAAAGTGCTTAAAATGTTTAAAAATTTGCTTGACTCTCGGTGATTAAGTTGAACTATTCTGGGCAGTTAGCAAAAGTAAGTATCTAGATGATATTTGATACAAACTTATTAAAATAAGAACCTTTGTTGTAGTTTGGGGGAAATAATATGATATTAATATTGTGAAGAAATTAGTTTTTCTCTGAATTCTTTGAAGAAAAACATATTGAGAGTGTGTATCCACCAGAATAAAACTAGATTTTATTGCTTGTATTTTTATCTTTCAATCCCTTTTTATTTTCATATGTCTTGTTTCTATTAGCTTATCTGTTTTATTTTTTCACCATAAACTTTCTTAACATTTTTGTCCATAGGTTCTTTACTCGAAAAACATATGCTGTATTATTCTTGCTTTTCCTTTTTGCGGGTTTCGTCCTGTATGGTAAGTTCTTTACAATATTTTTAAGACACTGTTAATATTTAAGTTTCTCTTTTTCTTGAAAGTGATATGTTAATAAATTTTTTTAAGTGATTTTAATTTTTAAAATTATTTTTTTTTAAAGAAAATGCACTGTTAAATGTTTATTTTCTTATATTTTCTTTTCAATTTAAATTATAGACAAAAACCTTCAAGTTGTTTATCAATTAATCCTTTTTTTAAATTTACTTTTTTTGAAAATAATTTATGCGCAGAAATTGTTGTTCAGTGTGCCTTAAATTATTTTGTATGAACTACAAATTTTTCAGTTATTTTGATAATGAGTGAGAATTACTTTTTGAAATCTACACATAAAATAGATATGAGGGTAATTTAATAATTGTTGAGGATCAGTTTCAGCTATTACATAATATTACACATTTTGATAAAATTTTTATGGCATCAAGTAAGAGCTCTTTCAAAACCCAAAAGGCACTTTTTCTAGAAGAAAGCACCCGGCCCTTTTTCATTCCTAGGGAGATCCCTGGTACTTGTTTTCTTTGCACTTGATTTCAAACTACAATTAGTAAAATGAGAAAAGTTTCTTAATATTTTTTATATGTACCATATTTTTATATCTATTACTATCTTGATTTCTGTTTAAACAGTTTGAATATAGTTTGATAAATATGATCAGTTTGCTTTACCATTTATAGTAGATTTTATTAACTGTTTCAGTTATTAAAAATAGCTATAACAAGGGTTCCCAAATTTATCCAATCACTAATTGAATTTTTTTTTAGAAAAACACTCGAGTGAAGAAAAAAAATTAACAGTCTCATTAATCCATATAATATCGATCTGTGGTATTTTGTATGTATCAAGGGTATTTTGTTATAAAATTTCTAAATATTTATTTAACCATGAGAATAAATTAAAGGTTAATCATAGTAGATAAAACTCTAGTAGTTAAACATAGTAGACTCTTGCTTTAAAACTATTGCAAACATTATTAATGTGTTCTATGTAAATACATTTGGGGAAAAAAATAAATACAGAATAAAATAGTAAAAAAAATTTAGTTATCTTACAATGCTATCAGAATTAGTGAAACATATGCTCAAACTTATTCTATTTTAAGAATGTTTGTTCAAATTGAGTTTTATGCACACAAAAAAAAAAAAAATTTTATTAAATGAAGTTGTTGGTAAAAAATCCAATAATGCTTGACAATAAGGTTGCAAAATCACTATACATTTCAAATTAAATTCTCAGAATTAGATACTATTTTTGTAAACTTCTATTAAAGCTAGATCATAGGAGCATCCTAATCTCTCTTGTCATTCCTATTCTCTCAATACATGATACCCCAGAGTGCAATACTTCATGAACTCATGGGGTATAATGCGTTAATTTTTTTTATGTTTAAATTGAACTCAATTGAAAGCATTTTGTTATGATTTTTAATATAGGTGCAGTATTTAGTGAAATATCAAAACGGATTTCTGGTGTTTTTATATCAAAAGCTGGCATATTGTCAAACTTAGTTATTCATCAAGTAAGTTAAGCTTTAAAAATAATTGCATTATTTTTGTAATTTAACCTAAAAAAATCATTGCATTAAAAATATTTTTTGAATTTTAGTTTATAACACTTAGTCATGATTTTTTTTCCCATGNTATTTTATAGCCGTTGTTGAACAGCCAACCCAATTGAGTTTACGACTACTATTATTCAACTTTGTACCCTATATATATAAAGACAAAAAGAAAAAAAATTTAAAGGGGCTGAACAAAACTACCAAAAATAACAAATTTATTTTAAAAATTCTTTTAAAATGGCTGGAAAAAAAACTAAGGAAACTGGAAAAAATAAAGTGGTGTTTCATATGAACTTTTGATTCAATTACATGTAGTGGTCAAATCAAATTTAATCAAATCAACTTTAAATCAAATTTACTAAACAAAGAATAGTCCATTGAAACATAAACTTAGCAAACACTAGAAGAAATTTTCCCAAAAGGCATAGAAAGTTAACCGCCCTGTATAGTAAAGAAAGTTCAAGCAACCCATTTAAATTAACTGCCAAATTTCAAAAAAAGCATTAACTGTTATTTTTGCAATATATTTTCAGCCTAAATATTTTTTCCAATTATAAATGTTTGTTAAATTTTAGTTCCCATAATTTGAATGTGTGATGAGTCTCAAAATGAGTACTCAAAACATATTGGATTTTCTATCTTTATTTTTTTATATATATTCAATACTTTTAAATCAATTAACGTTTTTTCATTGACAAGTGTTTCGTTCTGCTGTTCCTCAGAATTATTAATTCTCAACTGTTTTTAATGCATGACATGTCATCTGTTAAAGTTAATATGACCTTTGAAAAGTTTAACAGATGTTAACTTTTGAAAGTAAAGCATGTGTTGTTTAAATTTGCTAGATCTAGGGTTTAAGTTGAGCTCTAAAAGTCTTTAAATAGCTTCTGCAAGTTCCATAGGCACGCTTTTATTTTAGCCTCTTTAGACTGTCTAAACTGAACTGTTTATTACAAATTTTGCTTCATTTTTAAAGGCCTTTAAAAATCTTAAATTGTTTGTTTGTTTTAATGCAATATAAGTATTTTTATTAAAATCAATATAATTTTGTTACAGAATATTATTTTGTTATTCACCCAATGTTCATTTGGCAGCATTTTCTCTTGTTTGTTAACACAAAAGATTCAGAAATTTCTTTGCCCAGTGTCAACCCCTCATTTCAGTAAATTTTCTAATTAAGGAGGGATCTTGCAGTCATTGTGATGTCATCTAGCAAAGCAAAATAGGAATGGATTTTAGCTGCTCTTTGATTCGATGGTGGCTAATCCTGATTTAAAGAAAATAATTTATTAATTTTACTTGATAAGAATATTTTTTTAGACTTAAATAGAGAGGGAGAAATAAAGTCAATTTTTTCCCTACCTGAAACTGTATGTGATCGTATGTGGAGTTAAAAGTTTTAAGTAGGTAATCATTATTTATTCCTCTATTTTTTTCTAAAAAACTTTTATTTTTATTACTATCATGTGTATAGGTTTTTCCCAAGAAAAACAATATTATACAAAATAATATAATAACTAAAACAATAGTATAAAGTAAATGAAATATTAAATAATCTATTATTTCTGAAAATGACATCAAAAATCAATTTTTGTAAGGATTTTAACTAAGCAGTGGAAGTTAAATTGAAAAATTTGTATTGTGTGGTATTAAAATTTTTGTTCATTGAAATAATTTTTTCCTTTGTTTCAGATGCCTACAATACACCAAAATAAGGAAATTGAGACAATTTGTTCAATAAAAAGGTACGTTTAAAATAAAAAATACTTCATATTATAGTATGGATTTAGTGAGATTTGATTGTGTAGAAAATTAATTATAAAATTCAAAATGAAACTGTTTTAAGCAATTTTATGAGTTAATTCCAATAGTTGATACAGTAAAACCTCGTTAAGTCGTCACTCAAGGGACCGAACATTTTCGACGACTTAAGCGGAGTGACGACTTAAGTGGAGTTAGAAATTTCTTTAAAAAAACTAAAATAACATTGAAATTTTTTAATGGACTGCAATAGGATTCATTGAGAAAAATTAGATTTTTAGAATGTAATGCACATGCAAATAAATGTGTAGAAAAGGAATACAAATACTTTTGTATAGTTACCACTTTTTATTTTTATTTCTGAGCATTAAAATAGCTTAACATAGTGGATTGATGCAGGAATTGTTGATTGCTGTTAACCTTCTTTTCCAGTATCATCAGCGCCTTGAATTCTTCCTCTGTTGTGCTTTCAATTGATGTTAAATATCGTCTAACTTTCTCTAAGGCTTCTAATGTTTCAGTCTTGCTGGGCGGAATTCCACACGAATTCTCATTATCACTATCCTCGCTGGAACTGTGTTTTTTTTTATCTAAAAATTCTGAAGTTAAATCTTTTACAGTCGCTTGTGAACAAATAGCGATGTCATTGTCAATATCGACAAATGCATTTACGTCATTGACACTGCAACCTTTTTCATTAACAACTTGCAGCAAATTTTCTAAGGGCTCGGGGTCGACTTCTTCACAGAGGATATCTTCGGATTCTGCATTGGCTACAAATCCCGCGTGTCTGAAGCAATTAAAAACAGTTTGCGTAGAAACTGAGCTCCAACTTCTATGCACATAATTGATCGCGTCTAAAACGGAAACTTCAAACTTTTCATTTTTATCCAATGCTTTTATCAGGTCTTTTACTAGCATTTTTTTGTACTTTCTTTTGAAGTCCCGAATTATCCCTTGATCTAATGGCTGAAGAAGTGCAGTAACATTTGGAGGAAGGAAAACGATTTCAATAGCTTTTAAGCTTTCGGGTTGACTATGGGCTGTGCAATTATCGACAATAAGGGCAACTTTTCTCTTTTGGCGCGAAAACTGGGAATCCAATTTACGGATATGCCGTTCCCAAATCATTGTAGTCATCCATGCATTTGAATTTGCTTCATATTCAACTGGCAGAGATTTAACGTTTTTGAAACAACGTGGCCTTTTGCTCTTGCCTATCACTAGTGGTTTAAGCTTTTCATTTCCATTCATATTCGCTCCCAGCAAAAGTGTTAGACGTTGCTTGCTGGCTTTTCCAGTGGTGCATTTTTCGCCCTTAAACGATAGAGTTTTATCAGGCAAAAGACGATAAAATAAGCCCGTTTCATCTAGATTAAAAACATTCGAGGCATCAAACCTGGATAAAATGTCCTTGAGAACACTATTCCTCCAATTTTCTATAGCATCACCATCAACAGCTGCGGCTTCCCCACAAATCGTTTTAAAAGAAAGACAATTTCTGTCTTTGAAACGCTCCAGCCAACCATTGCTGCAATGGAAATCTTCTATGTTCAACTCCTTAGCAATTTCCATCGCTTTTTCTTTAAGAATGACGGAAGAAATAGGCACATTTTGCGATCTTGCATGCTTTAACCATCGAACTAAAATCTCCTCGATCTCGTCAAACTTTGATTTCCTCATTCTCTTTCTATTGTCTTTGCAGTCTGCTTCTTCAATGGTTTGCTTTGATGATAGAATATCACTTAAAGTAGTTCTCGGAATATTGTGTTCTTTGGCAAAAGCTGTTTTCGAAACATTTGACTTTTCAAAAAGTGCAATTAAGTCCTTTTTTTCTTTAAGAGATAACGAGGTAAGTTTTCGTTTTCCCGGCATTTTGAAACGTATTCAAATCACAATTTTGTAAGAAAATAAAATGGCCCTTATAGCGGGGCTTACTCGCTATGAAATGAAGTCCCACTGAAGTACGTACAATAAAGAAAAACGTCTACACTCGACTGAGTCGGAGCAAGAAGTGAGAACTTTGAACGATTGGCATGCAAAATTCCCAGAATCCAAATCCCCTAAAAGGAAAGGAATGCTCACAGCTGTAGAGCGAACTTCGTGGGTGGTCCGAAATTCCCGGAGATACTTAAAGTGAAAGGGGCGGGTCTGAAAAGATAACAGATAGGTTTGCCATTAAAAAAGATAGGTTTGCCATTTTTTTGGGGTGACGAATTATCCGGAGTAGAGTTAAATTCGATGACGGGTAAAAGAGGGTTATTTTACATTGTTGTCTATGAGGCTTAGTCGGGACCACAGGAAAACGACGACTTAAGCGGAGTGACGACTTATCAGGGTGACGACTTAATGAGGTTTTACTGTATTAGGTATAATAAGTTTATGTGTAAACTATAAACTCTATTGCATAAGCATCAGACCTCAATCAGGACAACAATATTTTATTTTATAGCCGTTGTTGAACAGCCAACCCAATTGAGTTTACGACTACTATTATTCAACTTTGTACCCTTTCTATTTTTAACCCAATCCAGAAGACAAAGGTACTCCTGGATTAAGTACATGTGAGGGAGAAATTTGCCTTTGGGGAGGACTTTTTGATAGGACTAACCCGCATTTGTGTTACATGGAAAGGAAAACCTCCCACAGTTAGCCTAATGGCAAGGGGACACTAACCCATGATCTGTCTACCACTGAGGATATTTTACATCAGCACTGTGGTAGGTGCAAGCTGGGTGCGTTTAACCAGCCATCAGTGGGATTCAATCCCGGTTCACCTTATTGAAGGCAAACGCTCTATCCCTTGAGTCGCTACGGCTTAGACAACCATATTAGTGATATTGCATTTCTTTTCATTATTTATTTGCTAATTTGATTTCTTTATTAGTAATTATGAGCCCATTTGCAGAATGTTTTAGGTAAATCTGCAACACCATCTTCATAAATCAAAATCTTTTTGCGCCCCAATTGCGATCAAGTGGAGACTAATATTGTAAAATTTGAAACTTTTATAATAGTGGAATAAAGCCATAGCTCATTCTCAAATTCACATTCTTACAATAAATATCTCTAAGATATATCACACCAGATAAAAATTTTCAAACGATTATTGGAAAAAATTGGCTAACCAAAACACACAAAATTTGCATGTAAGATAAATAAAAATTTTATACAAAATACTTTTCTTTTTTTTTAATTTATTTTAAAATTCACACAATAATTTTTCAGCTATGAGAATTTTCTGCCTTTTTAATAATTTTTACCAGACTTCCGATTTTTGTTTGATTTTTATCTGACTTCAGTTATAACATGATCAAAAAATTTAATATCAACGAAACGAAATCTGGAGTTTTGCAATTTTGGCCACATTTTACTACACCAAGAAAAAAAAATTTTTTTTTTTCTTTTGTCTCGTGTAAAAAGATTTATGCAACCAAGAATCATACACTCAAATTCAGAATGCGTGTGAAACTCTTACATTTTTTAAAAGAATTGCACATTCGAGATAAATGGTTGTGACTCCTTGTACTAAAATGCATAAATTAACCAAATTACAATTTTGAATAAAAAATAACTTTGACCATCATCACATAAACCTTTTATATTCCAATGAAAACTTTTCTTCTTCTACTTCTTTGTCTTATTCAATAAATCAAGTTTCCTAAATACACCCTTGCACAAATCCATAATCTAAATTAGTTAATTAATAATGAAATATTTTAAGATACATACTACTTATTAAAACCTTTTTTTTCTTGTTCTTGTTATCTCTGTGAATGTTTAATACCAGAACAAGTCATATATTTAAAATGTTAATATTTTTCTGTATTCTCCATTTTTCTGAAAAATAATTCAAGTGTAAAAAACAATTGGTTACAGGAGGTGGGGAAAATGAGGGAAACACTTCTATTCTAATAAATTTGTCCATATTTCTCCATAATTACTCAACTTCGGAAATGTTTAGATCATGTGATTTCTCATACATATCAATGAGATTTAAAGGTTTGAGGGACCGATAATAAATTACTAGCAAAAAATAATTTTTTTGAACACCCTATGCCAAAAAATGTATCAATAGATTTGTAACTTGTGACAGTTACTTTGGTTATTAAATGGAGTGATTACACAACATTTCGTAAGCCTAACTTAAATATTTAGGAGATATGAACATATTTATAAAAACTATTTTTTTTTTNTTTTTTTTTTTTTTTTTTTTTTTTTTTTTTTTTTTTTTTTTTTTTTTGCTACAACTGTGAAAATATTCAATAAAATGAAACAAAATTTTTTGAGCAATTTAAAATTAATGACTGAATTCTTAAAGCAAAAAATTTGTTTAAAACAGCACAAGATATAAATAGTAATTAAGCTAGTTCGTTTATACTGTGTGTGCGCTAGAAATTTTTTTTAAAAAATTTCGATTTTGTAATGAATTGTACTTGTCATATCAATGATTCAAGTCCGATTTGAGTATCTTAAAAATTCATACAATTTTCGAAGTAATTTATACATTTTAATACAAACTCAAAATAATAAGGGATTTTCTACAAATATTATTTTGCATGAGACAAAATTTAATAACAGATGATAATACCTTACAATAAATGTTCATACACCAAAATGTGAATTAATAAGGAGGAAAAAAAACAGGTGAAAAAGAGATGCTTTTCTGGGGGATGATCCCCAGCAATACTGGGGCCATATTTAACAAATCTAGTTTAATAGTACAAAATGAAATATGAGGAAAACCCCTTATCACTATGATCATTCTTTTAAAAAGTATAAAAACTCTTAGAAAATTTCTTTACTTTTTTAATTTTTTCTGTACTCAAATCGGACTTTTTTTTTAGTTACCAAATATAATTCACTACAAAATTAAGAGAAATTTTTTTTTAATTTTTCTTTTGCATGCGCAGTATAAAAGAACTACTTTAATTACTTATATCTTGCACAGTTTTGAGAGAATATTTCTCAAATTTTAAAACAAAAATTAATCTTAAAATGCTCTAAAAAAATTTTTTTAAGTTTTATTGAGTATTTTTAAAGTTATAACAAAATGAGGTAAGACAGCAACAAAATTAGTTTTTTATAAAAATGTTCATATATCCATGAATATTTAAGCTATACTTATGAAATTTTCTATAATTATTGCATATAATATTCAAATTAATTGTCACAAGTTGCAAACCTGTTGCTACATTTTTTGGCATAGGGGGTTCAAAAACATTAGTTTGCGTTTGTAATTTATTGTTGGTCCCTCAAACCTCTAAAAGCTTTAAACTTCATTGATATGTATAAAAATCGCATGATCTAAATATTTCTGAAGTTATAAAATATTTCGTCGAGTATTTCTGGAGAAATTTGAAAATGAAGTAATAAAATGAAACCAACTAATTTTTAGATTGTATTTGTTAAACTTTACAAATAAGTTAGTTGCATTTTATTGCATGCATTAAAATATTTCTAAATTAGTATACATATTTCTTCTAAATTATTTTTTCAAATATATCCATTTGGATTCTTGTTTTTTAGTACAGATTCTAATTTTTGTAATGTAACTGAAGAAATGAATAAACATATCAGAATTTCTAAAACAGCTGAGAAAAATTCTGAGCTAAAGTATTCGGCTGTACAGTCTACTCTGAATTTTTGTGATCATAAATTTATTCTGTCTGAACAAATTGAGCCATTTGAAAAACTGTTTTTAGCCACCATGAGAAAAGTAAGATTTTTTTAGATAAATAATTTTGCCTGCTGGTATACATTTTAAAACTAAATTGAGGCATTATACTTTTATATTTAATTATCTAAGCATTTAGTTTCTTGACAACTTTTCATTGAAGTTTCTGGTTGTGTAATTTTTGCCTATATATAAAATTTAAAAAAATATATATATTTTTTTATTTAGGAGCTCATCCAGGTGAAAAAGCTTTGTGAATGCTCAGAGGCTAATTTAATTATTTAAGTAGCATAATTAAATATATCTAGTATCCAAAAGTTAAAAGTTGTTAACTTTAAGTTTATTTAATATTAGTTTTTCATTAGTATTCCAAAATTTTCCAAATTGCATTTCATGCATTGAATTTGAGGGTCTCTCGTGAAAAATTTTACATGAAATGAAAATACTCCTTTTAAATTTTTTATCAAAATTCTTTTCTTTTTTCCTGTCAAAAGAATATCACTGCTAAAATTGGCTCCTCATGAGGATGATAGACTTCTGTGAATGTATCAGTGATTGAAGGGAGGGTGACAAAGACACCCCTTTTGTGTATCCTGTATTCAGACAAGGCAATGCGTAAAAAAAGGCATGTAATAAGAATATGTATATACCGTATATCCTAGTATCCTTTTTAACCCCCAAAATTTTATGAAAATCAAGGGTCGACTTGTACACCAGTAATAAAGTCGGATTTTTATTTAATTAGTAGAGTACTTCTAAATTTAATTTGAAGAAGACTATGTGCATTTTCTTTTTAACTTATTTAACCAAATACTTCTAAGGATCATTTCTCAAGCATTATATTTTAAGTTTTCTATTTTTAGCTAATAATTTTCTTTGTAATTTAAAATTAATCACACATCCAAACCACAGATAGTTAAACACATCACCATTTGGCATCATTAGAACATACCAATTTTCAAGGTTCATTTCAAGTGACCCCTAAACATTTTTTTTAAGCTTCAAAAATTATCTTCTTTGTTCTGTCTGATTTAATATATGTATTGTTTGCCTCCATTGGAAAAATGGAACAGTGGGCCAATTTGCCTTATTTTTATAAATTTATACTGAAATAAAATTCAATATAATCATTTCTTAATTGTTGTGGTTCTTAATCACGACATCTTCATCACAGCACGAACTTAATAACATAGGGAGACAACTTATACATCAGGTCGACTAATATATCAGGATATATGGTACTTTGTTACTTTCCATTCCATTAAAGTTAAGAGCTCTGTTTTTCTTTCTTTATTTTTTTCAATATATGTGGAATTAATTGAGCTTATTCTAACAGTGTCAATACCTACAGCTCCTTGCAGACACTAGCTTTAAAACTCAAAATAGAATAAAATCTGAAAGCAAACTTTGTCTGTAAAAAATTTAAACTCTCATGTTATGGTCTAAGTTTAAACGTAGGCATTTTTGCCTTTCTTGTTTTAAATTATTTTTTCAGAAATTTTGGCCTTTAAAACTACTTTATTTACAATTCAAATGTGATGAGCCTCGTAGCTATTAACTATGTCCACAATTATAACTCTTAGTTAATAAATTATAGGTATAACTGAAAATTTTGGCACTGTCATATTCCACTGAAATTTGTTTCATTTTTTATATGTTTAACATAATTTGAGTTGAACTATCTATTATAACCTTTTTCTAACCTTAAACAACAAGTACTAAAGTTTTCCACCACCATATTTTGAAAACCACACTTTTAATTATCTGTAAATTGCAATCTTATGCTAATGATTATGCACACCTGCATCTAAAAACCTTATACTTATAAATTTTAAGCTCCAATATTTGAACTATGTTATATTCTTCATTTTAATGTTAAACTATTAATTGTATGATATTTTCATCCACGAAGCACTATTTAGTTTTTGTAACAGTTTGTAAGTTGTGAATTTTATTAATGATGTAATTGTGTTCTAATAGAAAATATGAAAGCAAACTTTTCCAATACTTTGAGGTTGAAAAAAATAGTCTTACTTAGTATTATTACAAAAAGTAATATATTTGTTTGAAATTAAAACTTGGATTTCTAGATTTTTGACTTAATGTCTTTTATTTTAGTTGATTTACAATGCTACAGAGACTGGTTCCTCCTATTTCTTTCATGAATGGTTACAATCGATAATAGCAGGTACCATAGAAAATAATACTCAAAGACTAAAGCTCGAATTTCAAACATTAAAAGATACAGCTCCTCCCACGCATTGCTGTACACAGAAAATGGCTGAATGTATGGTAAAAGACTATTCTAAGTCCAAAGAAAAAGCTGAAAACACCATTGAGATGCCGAATACATCTAACAAAGAATATATAGCTAGTATTTTCCGGGAACTCTTTGATGAAATGATGTTACGTTATGATACAGAAAAAAAGAAATTAGTAGATTTTGCCTTGAAATCAGCAGGTAATATTTTTTTTGTTTTTGTCAGTACTTCAATGTTGATATGAAAATATTTTAATTTGAATGTAGCTGAGAATAACTAAAAAAAAAAGAAATGTTTTAGAAAAAAAAAATCTTTCTTTTAGGTGGTAAAGTTTTGTCAGTTAAGCAGACTGAAAATTATTTTGAAAGGAAAGTCTCATATGGTTTTTTAAATTACATAAAACTTATAAAGCTGCAGAATTCTCCAGAGGAAGCTATACAGGTATTTTGAAAACATAATTACTTGACAAACTTAGATACCTGACTACATTATTAAACTACAGGAAAACTAGGAATGTCAGGAATATTCAGCCACTATTTGGTATTCGGCCCCTTTTGCCGAATAATCGGTAGGCTGATTGCTTCGCCAAATATTCTGCCAAACATTGGGCAAATTTTTATTTATTTATTTTATTTTTTTTGGAAATATCTTTTTGACAAAGCTTTTTTTTTTATTTATTTGAATAGGTTTAATAAAGAATAATCTAAAATCTTATTTTTTACTTTACATTATTAGAAATAGTTTTTACACATATTTGTTAAGTTCTGAAACTTGCACACAGCTTGCAAGTTCCTGTTCTGCAAGATAAATGAAATATCGAAATTTGAAGAATTGAAACTACAGTTATTCTGAATTGTGAGTTTTTACACTTTTTGATTTTTTAGTACTTCTGATTATATTTAGGCAAGTCAATTTCATCTTTTTTTTCCCAACAATTTTTATTTTAAGAATTAAGAACGTTTTTTTTTTCTTTTGCTATTTTTATTATTGTGCTGCGTTTTTTACAGAGCATTTCTCGTAGACTTTATTCTTTTCTTGTCACTTTTTTTCCTATTCAATAAGACATAACCTGTTCCTTTTTTTTTTTTTTTTTTTTTTTTTTTTTTTTTTTTTTTTTTTTTTTTTTTTTTTTTNTTTTGTCAGTTAAGCAGACTGAAAATTATTTTGAAAAGAAAATCTCATATGGTTTTTTAAAATACATAAAACTTATAAAACTGCAGAATTCTCCAGAGGAAGCTATACAGGTATTTTGAAAACACAAATATTTGACAAATCAAGACTTAGTTACCTAACTACATTATTAAACTTTGGAAAAACTAGGAATATCAGGAATATTCAACCACTATTTGATATTCGGCCTTTTGGCTGAAACTTCGCAAAATATTCTGCCAAACATTAGGCAAGGTATTTTTTTGGAAAAAGCATTTTTTGACAAAGCTTTTTTTGGAATTTGAATAGGTTTAATATAAAATAATCTAAAATCGTATTTTTTACTTTGCATTATTAGAAATAGTTTTTACATATATTTGTTAAGTTCTGAAACTTGCATACAGCTTGGAAATTTCTGTTCTGCAAGATAAATGGAAAATCAAAAGCTTAATAATTGAAACTACAGTTTATACTGAACCACGAGTTTTTACACTTTTTGATTTTTTAGCACTTCTTATTATATTTAGGCAAGTCAATTTCAATGTTTTTTTTTCCAACAATTTTTGTTTTAAGAATTGAAGAATTTTTGTTTTAAGAATTTTTTTTGTTGTTGCTATTTTTATTATTGTGTTGCTTTTTTTACAGAGCATTTCTCATAGACTTAATTCTTTTATTGTCACTTATTTCCTGCTCAATAGGACATAACCTCTTCCTTTTTATTTTAAGTTCTCTAATGAATAACTATTACAGTTTTCTTACCTTTTCCTCATACCAATAATATAGCAAAGTTTTGATTGATTTTTAATAATGACTAACTTATTTTTATGTATAAAATTTTTTTTATTAATGATTTTTTTTAAATGTTGCTCTTCGACGGATTTATTTATTTATTTGCGGAATCTTTAGTATTTGACCAAATCACTATTCGTTACATCTCTAGGAAGAACTACATTATTTTTGCAGTTTACTACAACTACTTTGTTACAAATGTAGTTAAATACAACTACGATTTTTTAAATGTAGTGTCTGCAAACTGCTTTTGAACTGTGGTAACTACTTCACTACTTTAAGGAGACAAACTTTAAATGAAGAACTTAATTTACATGTTCAAAATGTTTTTAAATTTAAAAAGAGAAAATTGGCTTACATTAAGCATAAGGAATTAAGAAATATTTATACATGTTTACAAGAACCAATTTGGTATTCTGAAACATTTTTTTTTTTAATTATATTCATTCAACTCATTATTAATGTTTGCAACTTTGTTAAGTGTTTAATGCTCTTTTATTTTCTCTAAAAGACTTAACTATATCGAAAATATGTTGCCTTCCTTTGAAATAATAACATCGAAGTTTCACGAGTGTACATTTATATGTGAAAGTGTGACCAAAGTGATAAATTATCTTTTATTAGAAATGGCTATTTTAAATATTAGTATATGGTATTCTAAATTCATAATTCTTGTTATCACTCAGCCACAGCCACATTGCGTCCGTTGATGAACCCATGAGCATTGATCAACCCAGGGTGCGTAGCGTTTTTAAAAAGTGCTTAAAGGTGCTTATTTTTGGTTTTTAAAAGCCGTTAAAGGTGCTTTTTTCCTTGAGTATTTTTAAAAAGTGCTTGATTTTCCCTTTTTCAAAATGAGATTTTTCCTTTACCATGTTGATTTTTGCTACGAATTATGCAAAAAGACACAATTTACATTGTTCTATTCAACGTTTTCACAATTAATTCAACCCCAGTATTTTTCGCCGTATTGTCAGTCCGAAGAGTAGGAAAACGCCATCCGTATTACATGATTCAAAATTTCATGATTTTTGACAATTGTCAAAAACAATGCCAAAAGGGTTTTTTTTTTTTTTTTTTTTTTTTTTTTTGGACATGATGCTTAAAGCAAGATAAAACCATCAATTGTCAAAAACTTTCCAACCTTGCCTAATTGTGATATTTGTGCTTAAAAGATGCTTATTTTTTGTCGAATAATTTGGCTACACACAATGATGAAGATTTCGGTCAAATTCGAATTCGATTCATCAAACTCAAAAACTTAATTACTTTATAAACTTCTTTCTTTGCTAAGCTAACATTAAAAGTAGTTGCCAGGAATCAGTACCAACTACTGTTTTTTTGTGTCTCTCTACTTTTTTTTTTTTTTTTCAAAAAAAAAATAGCATGCTACACTCAAACTACAAAAAAAAAAAAAAAAAAAAAAAAAAAAAAAAAAAAAAAAAAAAAAAAAAAAAAAAA